GGTGCTGCACGTGGGGACGCGGCCCCCTTTTGTTCTGGCTACGCTGGCTGGGTTCTTAACCTAGCTCTGGCCTGTGTTTCACCCGGCTGTGCTTGGAATAAAGAGACTTTAATCCAATAAGATTGGGCAAGAACCAAGGCTAGCTCCTAGCACAACATAACTGAGCATGGATTCTGGTGAGGGTGGCTTGAAAGTTAGACCAAGGCAGACAGGCCACAAGAGATACCACGCTGAAGTACAGCTTGGCTAAACAGCCCAGGAGGGGCAAGACAGGCAGTTGCCACCCCTGGCTCCATCAGAGTCTCCAGCCCAAGACCCAGAGGAAGGTAGCCAAGCAGGAAGGGTTGCCTTCCCAACCCCGGACCAGGAATAGAATTAGGAGTCAGTGGGCTTGGTGAGTTTCAGAGTGAGTCCAGGCTGGGGGTGGGGCTTCCTTGGAGGGGCATGTGTTTGTGGGGTTGGGCAGAGAGCAGTCACTCCCACCAGGGAAGTCGGCCTGTAAATCTCCACCTCCCATCACTGCAAAGTTGAGCAGCCTCCAGGTCTTGGTGGCTCTGATACCAAGTTCCCAACTTCCCAGGCTCCAAGCTCTAGATGAAGCCGGTCCCAGGCGTGGGAAGCCTCAGGGAGCTGGAACTGCCCCCCCTCCTGGCAGCAGGCCCAAGAGTGTCCTGCCAGAGCTGGCAGTGGGCACCGGCTCCTGGCAGGGGCAGCCCTCTTTTCCTGCCGCACTGTTTTGTGCCCAGCATCCAGCACCTGTCACCTGTCCTGTGGAGGGAGGGAGCCTGGAGAGGGGTGGTGAGGGTGTGTGGTGCATGCACCCTCACGAGGTGTGTGCACGCCTGCACTTGCTGGGTGGGGTGTGCACAAGTGCAGTTAGTTGTGTTCAACCACCTGTAGGCTTGGGAATTCGTCTTCAGACTCCCGGGACTCTCGGCTCTGGACTGACTCCTAGGACGCTTGCAATTTGAGGGGGGAGTGGAGACAGGGTCTCATGTAGCTCAGGCTGGCCTCTAGCCAAGGATGACATTCAACTCCTGATCCTCCCGCGCTCTGCCTCTTGATTGCTGGGATGGCAGGCATGCACCACCATGCCTAGTTTTTACAGTACTGAGGGCAGAACCCAGAACTTGGTGCGTGGTTAGGCAAGCATTCTACCAACTGGTCCACATCTTCAACCCCCACCCCCAAATTGTGTTGTTTGGAGTCTTGCTATGAGGATGGCTTGGAATTCAACCATCCTCCTGCCTCAGTCTCCTGAGTGCTGGGGTCAGAGAGGTGTGCCACCACACCGGGGAGCCTTCATCCTTCCTTGTCCTCAGCCCAGAGGCAGCGGTGGTTAAGGATACAGAGCCTGGGGCCACACTCCAATACCTACC